TTTTTCAATTTTTTGTCTCTGCTCAGAGCAACTTTAACGTATAGTTGTTAAATCAAAATTTTGTATAGTTTACGTTAGTAATAAGGAGTTTGCATTATAGTAGAGCTGACATGGCATATGAGATGCTCTAAAACTAGTTTACGTGCTCTACACAAGCAACGTACTCTAATTCATTATTTAACATAAATAATAGATTTTTATTAATTATTTAACATAAATAATAGATTTTTATTAACCATTTAATACCAAGTTTGAATTCCTTATAAACAATCACCATTGAAGTAAAAACTTCTTAATTCAATTTTTGATTGCTTAAATCCTTCATGTCAATTTGGACTCACGTAAAATAACTTAGTTCATCCAATTTAGTTGCTCCCATTAAAGATGCTCTCAGTATGTATCAATACATAGAGGTTTGAAGTCAATATACAGACAATTTGTATCGTCTTCTTTTCCAGAATCTTTTTCATTCTTCTCTCCATCGAACTGAAACACCTTCTTCTCACCGTGAAATCCAACTTCCTACAAAAACCCTAAATTTGAAATCAATCGATATCAGAATTCAAAAGTCCAAAATATTCCTTAAAACCCTAAAATTGATTGAACCCTTAAAACGTTTTGTCTAGATTTTTGTCAAATTAATCTTGATTGTCTCACTATAGGTGCAATAAGGATGAAAATGATATGCTTCTAAGGACCAACGTCGATCATCATTGGAGTTTCAAATGTTTTGAAGAACTAGTCCATGAAAGTGGTCCGCACACGGTAGAACTTAGGACAAATTATATCTCAAAGTAAATTGCTTTCACTAATGAAGTAATGATAATAAAATGGCTGAATTTTTTAATATTTTTCATTTACCTTTTTTTAAGATTTGTACAAGGAATTTTTATTATAACTGAGGATAAACTGAAAGCAAATATATTCCTATAAAAAATCTTATCTACATATGTTGGAAAAATCTTGTACTCTTTATCCCTATAAAAAATCTTGTACTCTTTATCGTAGTCTAACTCTTATCTACATATGTTGGAAAATGACATTTACTTTGTTTCAAAATAGTTGTTTCCTTAGAAATCTTGGTTTTTTTCACATTGTTTGTCACTTTGGAAGACCTTGAAAGATTTTTAATTTAACTAAATGAGTCATATTTTTCTATAACTGAATTATTTGATGACTTTTAATTATTGTTCCAAACATTCAAGGAATACTCATAATTTGGTGCTATTGTTTGCTTATGTGTGCTATTCTCTATATGAATTGTTATAAAAAGTTAGAAAAAAGACTTATAAACATATAAAGAAAACAGTTAAAGCGTGTTGGATTCATTTATTTATTTATTCTTTAATGACTTTATCTTATTGTTTGTTGTTGTAGTTGTCTTTCAATGTATAATGATGTGTCATGTAATATTTATACTTGGCAGAATAATTTATTATCTTAATATTATGTTCATGCTTTATTAGTTTTCTATTTTAGTAATTTTGTAAATATGTATATCCTCCATATGAGAAATTTGAGATGCCACGGGAGAAAGATGAAAAATTCGATCAGTATCATATGAAAATCGCTTTTGTTTCTGCTAGTAAAATAAAAAGGGTTTTTTTAGACAAAAACTAACGAGGTTATGATAGCGTTTGTAATTAAAAGTGCTATTAAATACTAATTAAAAAACGAGGCTATGATAGTGCTTTTATAGAAACATTATTAATGATTGTACTTTTAATAGTGTTTTAAAACGCTATTATAGGTAATTAAAATATAATAGCGGGAGTTTTAATAACGCATAAAAGGTTATTAAAGATATAAAAAAATGCTATTAAATATATTTTTTGGTGTAGTGTTTATGTGATTAGAAACTAATTCGCATAGACCGAGTAATTTATTTTCTCTTATATTTTTCAAAATCTTGACATTTTCATTCGCATATTTTGTCAAACACCTTGTGTGCGTACCTTCAAATTTGAAATTCATGGCTCCCAAAGTGAACAAAGGCAAGAATGTTGTAGGCACATCCTCATCCCTTTATTTCTACAAGATGAAGGGATCCGATAAGTTCATCTATAACTATGATGATCCTGCTGAATTTGGTACAATTAATGTTAATGAACAACATGTGGAAGAACAAGTTCAACATGTGGATACAAACATGGTTGATACTCACCATTATGATGATCATGATTGGCAACATAATGAAGAGTAACATGAATACCCACAAGGGTGAAGTCACTGGCAACAAAATTCTCGGACTTAACATGGAGGACGTATGGTAACTACTCTGGTGTTGGCTCAAGTGGTGAAGAATAATTTATTATCACCTTACTGAAAATTAAGGAAGGAGATGAATCAATTTTAAAATGATATGAATAAGATTTTAAAGTGGAAAAATTGTTGGATCTCCATTGTTATTATAGTTACAACAGTTCTGGTTTTTATCGTGATGATTTAAAATCTTTTAGTATGTAGTTCAAATTAGGTGAACCTTGAACATTGTAGCAGTTATGGTTTTTATCATTGTAAAATTGTAACATTTGTCAGGTTAATTATGCAATGCTGGTTTTTATCTATGTAACATTGTAACAAATCTCAGATTTTTTGTGCAGTTATGGTTTGGTTTGTACTATTGTAACATTGTAGCAGTTATGGTTTGAAATGCCTTAGCCGAACCTTGAATCTTGTATCAGTTCTGATTCTTTGATTTGAAATGTTTTAATTGTAACATTGTTCAATTGTTCAACATAACACATATTTGTCATAACATGTAAACTTTGTCCATAACAAAAATTCAACATAACACATAATTATACATTGACACATAAACTTATTCATTAAATAAGTATAACACATATATTCATGACAATAACTTGTTCCAAAATGACACACATAAGCAATACACAAAATGACAGCAACTTGTTCCAAAATGACAACAACTTGTTCCAAAATGACAACAACTAAGCATTACACAAAATGAAAATAACTTGTTCCAAAATGACAAACATAAGCATAACACAAAATGACATTAACTTGTTTCTAAATAGATCTAAGTTTTTTTTCTTGGGTGTGGTCCTCTTAGTTGGAGTTGTCCTCTTTGTAGTTGGGCCTATCACATTCTTGGCTGCAGTTAGTCTTGTATTAGGTCTAGGAGGAACAAAAGGTGTTAATGGCCTCCTAACACCCAACCTAATTGGCCTTCCTAGTGTTGATACTTAAGTAGCAGTTGTGCCTCTAGTTCTTGGCTGCTGAGAACCTTGTGTGCCTCTAGTTTGTGACACTTGAGATCCTTGTATGCCTTCAACATTTGTCTGACTTCCTTGAGCACCGGGTGTACCTCTAGTTCGTGGCTGTTGAGAACCTTGTATGCCTATAGTTCTTGACACTTGAGATCCTTGTGTGCCTTCAACAGTTGGCTGACTTCCTTGAGCAGCAGGTGTACCTTGTAGTTGTTGAGAAACAGTTAAAAAGCGCATCCTCAACCACATCAGGCCCCTCATTCACATTGTCACCATTTCCTAATTCTGTTTCTATAGGCCCATCATAGTAATCAGGCTGATCAAGTTTGTGTTGAATGTAAATGTCTACACCTATGTGAACCCTATAAATATAAGCTATTTCTAATGCACCTACATCATCATTCAACGAGTTCATTCAAATGTCGGGTCAGTGTAATATATTTTCTCAAAATCCCTATACCCTAAGTCCTTCAGTGTACCTACCAACTCAAAGTAACTCCATCTGCCCACATCTACTTTCAACTCATCAACTTTCCCTCCTTCATACATTCTAAGATCGCCATCAACAAATTCACCACTATAATGAATTTTTGGTACTATAAACTCCTCCACCAGTAAACCTATTCATGTTCATAATCCATATTATTAAAAACCCTAATTGAAAAATATTGAAAATATAGAAAGCTCTATTTTGTTAGGAAACCCTAAATTCTCAAATTGAAACATATAAAACTCATACAAATGATCAACACACTAACCTGTTTGCAACGCCTTCTTCAACCTTTCGGTCGAACTCAAACGCTTTATGGATTTGCTTTCGTTGCTTTCGCTGGATTTGCTTTCTTCACTTTTTCACTTGTGTTTCTTAAAATGTCATGCTTAACAATAACATAACATATAAGGTTAATGCTAGGTCAAGGCCACGTAAGGTATAGCAAGCCACGTCATAGCCATACGACGTCTCTTAGTCAGCCTTCAGTAACAGAGACTAACGTGACCCACTTTAAATAATTAAGGAATTGATTTGAACATTTTAAAAATTAAGGGAATACAATAGATATCGAGTTAAAGTTAAAGGACGAAAAATGATATTTTACTTATAAAAAATGTGAAATTATTTTATATCTAGTGTGAGTGATAACCATGAAATTCCAAAAGAAAACAAATGATTTCATTCCAAATTATAAGTCACTTAGTCAAAAAAAATTTGTCTCAAATTATAAATCACTTTACATTTTCAATACACTATTAATGACATTTTTTCTAATATATTCTTAAGTATTTATTATTATAGCTTTTTAATTTCTATTTCTTAATTCCTTTGAAATATAAAAAAAACATCTTATGATTTGGGACGGGTGCGGGAGGAACAAAGAAAGAGCAAGTCCGAAGATTTGGACCAAATCAATGGCAACACGTGTGTATATACCATACCACATCAATATATCTGTATATCGACATCTTCTTCTTCTCTTCTAATCAACGCTTCCCTCCAATCAATCATTACTTCACCCACTCTTCTGCAAATGCTTCAATTCACGGTAACGTTCTCTCTCTACATTCTTTCTACGATTTTATTAATCATAGTAGTATTTCATTTCTTAAATTGGAATTGTTAATCGTATCAATTTGATTGGATCCAACCAATAATTGATTGGAACTATACTGTAAACCACAGATTCATTACAATTTGGATTCTTTGATGCAGGTAGTTTAGACTCTGCAGGTCGATAAAGAGGGAACGCTGTGTGTGTTCACGGATATACAAAGATGCTTCATTTTGTTCTTGTTTCTTTTGTGTTTTTCACCTCTATCAAAGATGGATGTGCAAGGAAAGGGATCACTAGCTCTTTTGTAAGGTCAGAGTGGCCATCTGTGGATATCCCACTTGATCATGAAGCATTTGCAGTTCCGAAGGGTCATAATGCACCTCAGCAAGTATGTCTTACAATCATTTTATTATCTATTAGTATTCCTTTCTCTGGCATCTGGGATCTGTTTTGAATTTTGATTCATTTATTTGAGTTTATCTGTTTCGGATCACTTTTGGAATAAATACTCATAAGATTGTTTGATAGAGAGAAACAGTTGTGTCATATCCATAAGCTGTTTTTAACTTATTTTCACAAGCTCTCTTGATTTCTAAGTGGGTGTTTGGTTTCACCGTGGGAGCACTTAGAATTAATTCTTGATGTATTATAGATTTGATTTTGACATGTTTGGTTGCTCTCAAGTAGAATTGATTATGCTTTCCATCATTGGTTCTACTTGAAGCTAGAATTTGTAGTTTTAATTTTTACTCTGAAATTTGTTGTTCAATACAATTTTGTAAGAATTTATTCAAACATTAATCATTTTACCTTCAACTCAAAATCAATTTTACAGAATCAATTCACAATTTTTTCCCTGCAGAGCAAACACACAATTGTTTCGCCAAACAGGTTTATGAAACTCTTATGAGGATCCTATGCCTCAGCACTCAAATTTGACATGTGAAGCAGTTTTATGTTTTATGCTTGAACTAAAAACGGCTTACTTGATCAAGATTTCATCGCATCAGTGTTATAAACTTATCTTTTGCTGCGTTTGTTTTTTCCCACTGTAGGTGCATATCACACAAGGTGATTATGAAGGAAGAGCAGTAATCGTCTCATGGGTGACCCCAGATGAACCAGGGTCCAGCCATGTACAATTTGGCACATCAGAGAAAAAATTTCAAGCTAGTGCAGAAGGAACAGTTTCAAATTACACTTTTGGCGAATACAAGTCTGGTTACATTCATCATTGTCTTGTTGAAGGCCTTGAGGTACTTGTTTCAAATTAAGGGATTAGAATTATCATCCTTTTTATTTTATTTCGAATGTCAGAAGTGAAATAAATTGAAAAGTGGAGTCTAACTAAGAGGACAGCATATGTTTTCATTTTTGAATAATAGCACTTGTATATAATTCTCATTTTTCGATATGTCGAATGCATTTATTCACTTGATTCAGTTATTTCTGCATTTCAGCATGATGCCAAATACTACTACAGAATTGGAAGTGGTGATTCTTCTCGAGAATTTTGGTTTGAAACACCTCCTAAAGTTGAACCAGATGCCCCTTACAAATTTGGGATCATTGGTATGTTGTTTGTTTTCCCACATATGCTCTTCTACTAGAACTGAATCTTTTGCATCCTTAATTGCAGTCTTTGTTTCTACTTCATAAACTATTATGTATCAGTATTCATTTTGCTTTGATTTCTCATAATTTTAACTTTGCTGTTCTCCAAAATGAATAATTATATCTTCATTTCAGGTGATTTGGGGCAAACATTTAATTCTCTTTCCACTCTTGAGCACTATATAGAGAGTAAAGCACAGACTGTTTTATTTGTTGGAGATCTGTCTTATGCTGATAGGTATAAGTACAGTGATGTTGGCTTACGGTGGGATACATGGGGCCGATTTGTTGAAAGGAGTACAGCATATCAGCCATGGATATGGAATACTGGAAACCATGAAATAGAATACTTTCCTTACATGGTAGAGTACTAAAGAAGTTTTATTTTTGTATTTATTTTCCTTACATGTTTTCTTCATAACTACAATGTCTGGACTGGTTTGTTCCTTTTCTCAGTGGTATGCATGATCATTGCACATGTCAGCATACGTTTAAGTCTCAGTAATGTGTTCTAGTTAGTCGTTACATGGAAAAGCCTAATTGTTGCTTTTATGTTTAATAAATTCCATTTAGCTGACTGGAGACTTAAACAATGGACTGCATTATAGTTCTTCTGGTTTATGCCATCCTTTCAGTTCCTATAGTGTTGGAGAAAACTTTTCCATTCCTTTGGAATTTTGTAGTAAGCAGGCAGCTTAAGATATCCCTAATGTCAAGTAGCAAACACAACTTATTTTGTAAATAAAGAGCTGTTTCCTATTACAATCGAGTCCCTCTTCATATGATATGCTGAAGTAAATGTTACTCAGATTTGTTGTATTAACTTGACCTTTGTGAAGCTTCTTTTAGTATAAAACTTTAATTTTCTCCTGTTGCCCATGTTGAAAACTTCACTCTTAGAATTATGTAAGTTACAAAATTAACTCTAATATTCTGAAGTAAATCTGCTTGATCAGGGAGAAGTTGTTCCATTCAAGTCCTATCTTCAACGATATACTACTCCTTATTTGGCGTCCAGTAGCAGCAGCCCCCTTTGGTACGCAATCAGGCGTGCATCTGCTCATATAATTGTACTATCCAGCTATTCACCATACGGTAATTAATCTCTTTCTCTAATTATTAATATTTCTTACATGTTTGACAATTATATTCTTTTGCAATGTTAGGTTCTTAGCATTTCATAGGCGCAAAAAACTTGTATGCTCCACCTTTAAAGTTTTAGTTGGCTATTATAATCTTTGTTTCTCATCTTAAAGCACCTATGTTGTCAATAGCGCGCTATAGCAGAATAGTGATGGTAAGGTTCGGCACTTTTGGCTTGCGAGCCGCCGTCAACAATAGTGGTTGTAGTGGCTGCTATTGCGGCCCCAAATCGCTAATGCAACCACTGTTTGGGTTTTTAGGCGAAATTCCTCTAAGCCTTTTTTTAAATGTTGTCTTTTTTAAGGGTATAAATGCCAATTCAGACCCTTTTAACAGGAATATTATGTTCTTCATTCTGTTAAATTCTTGCTCACAAGCAATTGTTATGTTCTTCTTACTTTTGGTTCAAATATGTTATGTTTTTTCTTCTATGTAAGTTTTATTGATGTGCACTTTAGGTTCTTTAGTTATTAAGTATGAATGTCTTCTTAATTTTGTGTTTTATTTTCATTTTTGAGCATTTGTGCTTACTTTACACCCTAATTTTTTGCAATAGCGGCTATCCGCTATACCATTATAGCATTTTAAGAAGTCGGTCTTACATGATGCTTCTGAGATTAACCACATAATAAAGCACTAAGTATAGCTGGTTTATTCTTCATTGCAAACATGTGCTATCGAATATTGGTCACTAATAATGAAACAAAAATAAAGTCCGCTAAGTAAAAGCAAAACTGTCCCCATCCAAAAAGGAAACCATGGGAAATGATGTAAAGATGTTTACTTCTCTACCCTAAAGATCAAGTTCTAGATTGTAGCTTGTCTGTCATTAAGAATGACGATGCCGACATTCTTATGTTTGTAGGTCTTAAGAGTATAGACATTGTTTGAGAGCTATTTCTGTTTTGATTGAAAAGGTCACTGTCAATAACGCATGCTTTTCAACTGCCACCTTTTTTCAAAGTATACCTAATCTTCGTTTGAAAGTGTTGTTTGCCTTCTATTTTACACTTTTTCAACACTTTGATCTTTCATAACAGTGAAATACACACCACAATATAAATGGCTCGCTGAAGAGCTGACTCGGGTTGATAGGGAAAAGACACCTTGGCTCATTGTTCTCATGCATGTGCCCATCTACAACTCTAATGAAGCTCACTATATGGAAGGTGAAAGCATGCGAGTGGTTTTCGAGAGCTGGTTCATCAAGTATAAGGTTGACGTGATCTTTGCTGGCCACGTCCATGCTTATGAAAGATCGGTATGTTTTTCATCCCTGCTCATGTTTTTGGTCCTTGCCCAATACATTATACATGAAGTTGAATGTTATTTTGGTGCTGCTAGCTTAGGCAAGATGCTTCTTTAGTCATGTGATGTCAAATTGGATCCTTATGTGTCCAATGTTTCTGTTCTGCTTTCAGTATCGAGTCTCCAATATAGATTACAACATAACAAGCGGTAACCGGTATCCAGTAGCGGACAAATCAGCACCTGTGTACATAACAGTTGGAGATGGAGGAAATCAAGAAGGTCTTGCTTCTAGGTAAATTAACTTAAACAAATCACTTTGTCATGTATATGCGCATTTATTAAACATATTGCACATGTTTTAATTTTGTTATTGGCCGTGAAGGTTTTGGGATCCTCAGCCAGAATACTCTGCATATCGTGAAGCAAGTTATGGACACTCCACATTGGAGATAAAAAATAGGACCCATGCTATCTATCACTGGAACCGCAATGATGATGGCAAGAAAGTTTCAACTGATTCATTCGTATTGCATAATCAGTATTGGTAGGTTCGCAAATGCGCATGTAATATCACTCGTTTTTTATTTTTTAAACAAAACTTGAGATTATTTACTATATTGTGTAAAGTGAATGGCTCAGTTTAGAGGAGGATGAAATCAATACTCCGATTTCTTGTTAGATATTTGGCGTGTATTGTAAAATAGTGATTATGTTCACTCGAAGGATAATTTCCACATGGTTGAATTCTGGTTATGCAGGGGAAACAATAGGAGAAGAAGAAAACTGAAGCATTTTCTATTGAAAGTTATTGAAGAAGTTGCCAGCAGTTAATAAGCATTCGAAGCAAACTCGTATATGACGTTCTGCAAAGAATTAAAACGTGCCTCCAGATTAATATATGCTGCTCAGTAGTCTTGGAGTGAGTGAAATGTTGGTTGTGAGAAATGTTTTCATGTACCAGCTTTTATCTATGTATCGTTCGGTGCTAATAAAATATTGAACTGATATGTATGTATTGGGAGAAAAATGATTCAGACCAAGATATTCCTTATTATTAAGGATAATGATGGCCAAGTTATCTGTTCAATCTTTTTATAAAGAAACTGCTTTGCAATTTTAAGAAAAGTTTGGAGATGGAAAATGAGCTTTGACATTCCAATCTTCCAGGGCATTTAGGTTATAACAATCAAAGCCTTTGCACTTTAAAATCACAAACAAGTAATGCATGCAACGAATGAACGACTGAAATCAGGGATTACAAATTATTGATAGGACACTTTCATTAAGAATTTATTATCACTAGATATATATGTAGTGGATTTACTTTAACACGAGTTTTACATATGCCGATATACGTTAGCTACGAAACTTTTGGTGGAAAATACAAATTTCATTTTAAGAACCGTTTCACTGTGTGCTATACTTTGTGGAATGTTAGTTATATGTAATATTCTAATTTTTATCTTTAAGATTTCATATTTCATTTACATCTTATTTTGCAAATAGGGTTGCAAGCTTTGCTTCTCTTGTTTTTCTCTGTGTGTTTGTTTTTGAGAGAGATCACTGAACACCTTTATTTTTTTGTTTATTTGATATTTATTTATGTTTATATTTACTAACCATTATTCAAAATCCAAAAAAATGTTTGTTTTTCCTTCACTAACTTTTTCAGGAAGGATTTAGAGCAAAGATATCAAATTTCAGTCTCTCAACTCAAACGAATTTCATTTAAAAAAAGACAGTTGATCTATAAACAATTCAAAATCATCTAATCAAGAGTCTCTCAAGATTTGATTGACTTTTATTCAAGAGACTCCAAGGTTTATGTGTTTATTTCCATGTCTTTTTTAACAAGCAAAATAATCGAGTCAGAGACAAGACAACACATCAAAAAGACAATTTTTTTTACCATTTTTGTCTAAGGTAATCGATTACCAGTATTAGGGTAATCGATTGCCTTGTGCGCATTTTGTGAAAATTGGCCAAATTCAAATTCTGCAGCATTTTTGACACCAAATTCAAATGTTTCATCATGAGAATATTCTAGATCACTTCATTTTAATTCCTCTACCTCATCATAATTAATTCTCATCATACACCTTCACTAATCACCACTTGATCATTAATTTCCTTCCAAATTCAAATTCCAAGCCTAATTTTGTTTCCAAACCAAATTCCAATCCACCAAATTTTCCAAGCCTAACTCCTATAAATAAAAGCCTCATTTCTCTCATTTCACAAGTTTTTGATAGCCAAAATCACCTTGTCAAATTCTTTCTTGATTCTCTCTTTTCTCCAACTACCAAATTCACCAAAGCTCTTTCTTCCTTTGAAAGTTAGTAAGTTCATCATTAGAACTTACTAATTTTTAAGTTAAACCTTCATCCATTCACTTTTTCATCATCAATTTGGAGTGTTGTTGGTGGAGTTGATTTGAAGAATTTTCAGATTTGGAGTGGTAATTTCTTGATCCACCATTGTTGCTCTTGATACATCCTTCACAATATGATCTATTGTTAATTCTTGTTGCTTGATTTTTGGATCTTGCAAATTGTGTTCTATTGGTGTTGTTTGCTGTTATTTTACTTGAATTTTCGTGCTCAATTGCATACTTGATCATGAGGTATTTGAAGAAATGATTGATCAAGTTTTGCACATTTTAAAAGTGGATTTGTTGCTGTTTTAGCAGTGGTAATCGATTACCCTTCTGGTGGTAATCGATTACACAATGTTGACTTTGACTTTTTGGCTTTGTTTTAGGACTGTTTTAGTTCTTTCTTCTTCTTCTTCTTCTTCTTCTTCTTCTTCTTCCATTTCCTTTTAGTTTTTGCCTTGGAATACCCTTTTAAAGGTCATTTTCCTCTTTAAATTCATTGGACTTAGGGTGTAGATGAAGTTGGATAAACATTCACTAATTCAAATCTATCTTTAAAGTGAATTGTTCAATTCATTTTAGGTGCTTTGAGTTAATGATACGTTTAGTGCTTTAGTCCACCAAGATGAGTGGATGAATTTAAAGATGGAATGACCTTGAAATTGTAATTCAACTTGGCATTCTCTTTCCTCTTCTCCTTTTTCTTTTGATCGATGAAAATCTTCGATATCGTTTGAACTTATTTTAAGTTCTTGATGAAGATGAGATCGTTACCTATTTTCTTTTCATGCGGTATTGCTTTCGGAGAGTGATCTACATATCACTTCTCTAGCATACATTAATACTAACATTGTTATTGACCGACCTCAGATAGTCGTGATTTCTACATAAACCCGATTACGGTTGCTTAACATAGCGCTAAATTGTCCCCTAATCGGAAAATGATCATTCATGGCTCAAACTTATGTTTGAAAGTTCAAGTATGGTTGATTATTTGTCTTAGCACCATCACTTATGAAACTTGTTTTTAAGAGGCTTTGATTTTATCAATCCTCTAATGAGTCTTCATTAACTTTGGCCTAAGTGCATGAGTTAATCATCGGTGATCATTTGTTCTAACAACTAATCACTAACTCACTAACAATACTATTGTACTAATTTTGTTTATGTTTCCTTCTTGCTCCCTATATATCTTTTATATTTATGCTCACTTATTATCATCTCATATCATATTATTGTTTATGTTTCCACCATTTTTCTTTTGTCCATTTGGACCATATCTTGTTCAAAGCACTAATAAAAGATTAAACCTCTAAAAAACTTGATGCTCTTAACTTTGTGGTTATGCTCTTGGACTATTCTTAGACCTTGGACCTCTTGGACTATTCTTGGATCCTTAGACATAGAATTATGTCTCTTTTCCTATGCTTGGAGTATTATGGATTTTTGCCTTTATTTGGCTTGTCCATTTGCTTATGCTTCAAGATGGATGAAATTATTATTTGGCTTGCTATGAAGTGTGTTAAAATTTTGTTAGACCCTTCTTATCTCTAGCTTTTGTTTTAGTTTTTAGGATAGTCACTTCATCTCCTCCCCTTCTTAAAATTTCAAAATCTTCCCCCTTTTAAAAAAAAACCTTTTTGTTTTCAAACTTAAAACTGCTTTCATAATAAAACCTTGACTTTTGTCAAGTGATTTTAAAACTTTGTTTTCTTTAATAAATTTAAATCAATGTTAATCATACTTTGACCAATTTCAATAAAGATATAAAAAACATTTCACCCCATTCAAACTTTTTGTGCCTTTGTGCACTTTTTATTTTAAATCTTTTTCATAAGTTTAAACATTAGTCATTTCCATAGTTGAGATATAATTGTCCTATTCCCCATAGTATTTAAGATGTTGACATTTTCCACTTAGATGTTGAGTGATAGACTTGTTGATTTTAATCCAAGCAAAACCCTCCATCTTTAGGTGATGCAAATGTTGTCTTATACTTGTGGGCGACTAGTCGTAGTTTTCTCCTTAAAATGACAAATTGTCTTTACATTTAAAATCAATCAAAACAAACAAATCTTTGTTATTTGCACCACGAACTACGGGGTTTTGATCCTATATTTCACTTTGTGGGTACGTAGGCATGGGACAATAAGTCTCTCCAAACACAAAAACCTTAAAACTATTTCTCTTCTCATCTCCCAATCTCATTTCAAACAAACCTTTTCAAACAAAAAACATAGATATTTCAAAGGGCTCATATAGACTACTATAGACGTTTTGGGTGCTAACACCTTCCCATTGCGTAACCAACCCCCTTACCCATTCTCTGTTTGTTCTTGTTTTAGAATTTGCTTAGATTTTGTTCGCTCTTTTTCCTTTCCTTTTGGATAAAATAAAAGTGCGGTGGCGACTCTTGCATTTTGAGTTAAGTTAATTAATAGCTTACACTCACAAATTTCCCCGCTACAGAAAAGTGGCGACTCTGTTGGGGAGTAGTCTCTAGTGGGTTTAGTATACTTTGATTTATTTATCGCTTTTTGTTTGATTTGTTTGTTATTGTTTGTTCTGTTTGGGTGCCTGGTGATCTGTGTGGTGAGATAAGTCCTATACCCGGACTTGAGTGCACTTATGATAGGAGGGTGATATAGTTTTATTGGCTTACGTGGAGTAGTCCTTACTAAGATAACTTGAGATCCCTCGCTCAGTGGAGGTCCCTTTGGGATTACTGATGTCTTATGAGTAGTCGTATTTGACATTACTTTTTCCGACCTGGGAGGCAGAGAAGCTGAGGATCTTAGAACCCTTTAACCCATCTTGGTTTTATTAGGACGTGGTGTGGTGGCTATTCATGTGTAAACTTGAATTAGTTGTTACGCGATACCACAGTCAGACGAGTAGTCATTTAATTCGATAATATCCAAAAGATGAAATTATGACCTTGAGAACTTTTTTAGAACCTTGTTCTGTAAGTGCTGATATAACCTTAGTACATACCATTGTGGGTTGGTTCTTACCTTTGGCTCCATGCTCGTGCCGAACCTTCGAACCCTTTGTCATGGGTATTTTGTTTCAGTCAATTTTCAAGGATCTCATAGATTTTTCTTTGCAAACATCGCAGATATTGTGATTATGGATATTGGAAGGAGAAACACTCAGAAGTACGGTTTTCGAGCTCCCGATCTTACAAATTTGAGAAAGCTAGTGTCCTTGATAGTTGATCGTGCAGACTTCAGATCGTCATAGGAAACTTCTATTTGTTCTTTCTACCAACATTGAAGACGGAATTCTGAACACCCTTGTGTAATTCTATGATCCTGTCTACCGATGCTTTACTTTTATCGGCTTATGCCAACCTTGGAGAAGTATGCTTATTTATTGGGTATACCTGTTTCTGATAAGGTTCCTTATACTGGTTTGGAGGAAGTTCTTAAGCCCCAAGATATTGCTGCAGCCACCC